CTTGGGGTCACAGGGTTTTACTGGTAGTAACTGACAAACTAACAATATACATAATTTTGAACCAAGTTAAAACTATAATTCCCCAACTAGACTGTAAGTCTAATGAAGACAGGGATCTTTCTTTATATCTCTTCATATCCCAGCATTTTGTGAAATTCCAGGTATATGTAGTTCAACAAATGTATGGTAACATAAATAAATTTTGTAAAATAAAAAGACATGAAAGCAGAAAATTGATTCCTTTGTCCAAATTATTTTGTTACAAAAGAATTTTTTACAAAAGAATTTATTGCAGCTCTCCTTTAAATATTGCCCCTTCTACTCAAATGATATGAAGTAAAATGAGTATGACTAAAATTCAATTCACATGTGATTTTATGTATCATGTGTTCTGATTGTAACTTGAACACTACAATCTTTAAATGAATCAATATAAAGATTATAGGAAGAGATTGTTACTTTTACCTTAAAACTTAATGCCAGGTTTTACATTCAAGTCTATACTCTCACAAGAAATTCACACTAAATTTTTTTTTTTTTTAGCGGATAGTCAGGCAGGATATTCATTTTTATGATAGATAATCCAATATCCTTCCCACTTCACTTGTCAGAACATAAAATGCAATAGACATGTTGCTGTATTTTCCCCTTTTGAACATTTAAGCTGTTGGAGAGTCATATTTTCCATGAGTAAAGTTAGAAAAAATTCCGGCTATAGCCAGTCCAAAAATATGCCTCAGTTCTGAGAAAGAAAAATCATGTCATACGATGGTAAATATAATATTGGATCAATTCAATCCATTGAAATCCACGTATCCTGGATGCCTCCCAAAATCAGTCTCTTAGTAATTTGTCTTCTCGGAGTTATTCTTCATAAAACTGATTACTGCGTTGTGCTTTTCTCTCGATGAATATTTTATGTATGATACATATTTTAGTCTCTTGCATTATTTTTCTTAGGTTCTCAGCTAAACGTTCCAAATAATGTATTCATTATTAGAAAAATGATAAAATCTTTATATATCGGCTTTTCCCCCTCTAGTTTAGCAGCTTATAAATAACTATGTTGGTTTAATACCTCTTCACTGATTCTCTTAACTTCCTAAAATGCCTATCATCCTGATGTGCTTGTGTATTTTCAAATGGGTCTCTGTCCCTGGTTAGATCAATAAACTATTGTCACAAAGGCATCTTTGCTTCCTAATCGCCTGGCACACTTCAGTATTTTCCCATCAAAGATAAATTTAAATTGTATAGATCTCTATCACTGCCATTTTCGTCTTCCAATTTGTACTTTTGTCTGGTTCACTAAGAGGCATATCAACATTTATTTTCTTCTGTGCAGATCATCCTTCTTCTATTTCTAACTATTCTGAAAAGTCCTTGTTCCCTTTAAAGAACTCCTTTTCCTCTGTACAATGACTCACTATAAATTCAATTATTACCTAAGTGTCCAGACCCCCGAGCAGAAAGAAGGTTGGCCTCGGAATCAGACTTTGCTTCCAGGAGCAAGTCTTCCATCCCCGGAAAAGAAAACTGGGCTACACAAAGAGCGTGACCGTTGTCATCGGGACAGCCCCCCCCCTTTTTTTTTTAAGATTTTATTTATTTATTTGACAGAGAGACAGCGAGAGAGGGAACACAAGCAGGGGGAGTGGGAGAGGAGAAGCAGGCTTCCCGCTGAGCAGGGAGCCCGATGCGGGGCTTGATCCCAGAACCCTGGGATCATGACCTGAGCCGAAGGCAGACGCTTAATGACTGAGCCAGCCAGGCGCCCCGTGTCATCGGGACAGCCTTATGGTGCACAGTGTCATTCAAGACCCAACCCGCACAGGTAGGGTAGCACACTGGCAAGAACCCTGAAGACCAAGGTCCTGACACCTGCTCTCCCCATTAGAACATCAGATGTGTCACTTTTGATCTTGTTGGCAGAAATTTGCTCACCTGAAAATAAGGGACTTGAACTAAATTCTCTCTGTTTTATCCAAGCTCTTATGATCTATTGTAGGGTAGATACAGCATAGTCTAATTGAAACAAGTACCAGAATACGCTACACTTCTTAGAAGCAACCGATTTATTTCTATCTTGGTGACCCGGTAAACTTCGCAATGGATGGCATTTCAATTTTTGCTTTTGCCATCTGGAAACTTAGTTCCCCACATAGGCACCCTTTCTCCACAGCTCCACGGTGCGCACTTTGTATACCAAGCTTTGCCTTGACTTTTACTGGTATGACTCTTCATTTCCATTTGCCAGGGTCCTTACTGTTCTGTATCCTGCTATGTTTTATGTGTCTCTGAGGGCACTTTGGAATGAGGCATGACAGAAACGTACATAAAGAAATAAGATGATGGAAAAAGGAAAGACTCTGGAGTCAGATGTGATGGACCCATCCTATCACTGATTAGCCTGTGACAACTCTCCTTAGTCTCTGTTTTGTCTTTGGTAACACAGGCAAATCCTGTCTTCCAAAGTTGCCCAAAGAATTAAGTGAGACAATTTAGCTAAAGTGCATGCTGCATGGTAGGTAAGCAAAAAATAATAATTTCCTTCTTTTCCCTCTTTCTTTTTTCTCCCTAGTTTTATTGAGGTATTATTGACAATCAAAAATTGTAATATACTTGGGGCACCTGGGTGGCTCAGTCTGTTAAGCGACCAACTCTTGGTTTCAGCTCAGGTAATGATTTGGGGTCATAGGGTTGGGCTCCATGCTCAGTGCGGAGTCTACTTGTCCCTCTCTCTCTCCCTGCATTTGTGCATGCTCTCTGTCTCTCTCTCAAATAAATAAAATCTTTAAAAAATTGTGATATATTTAAGGTGTACAATCTGATGGCCCAAAATACATAAACATTGTGAAATATTCACCACCTCCAAGCCAACCAATACATCCATCACCTCATTCCTGTACTATGTTCCTTTTTTTTCTTTTATGGTGACAACACCAACCCTCTTAGCAAATTTCAAGTGTACCATACAATACTGTCACCTAGGGTCCCATCGCTGCACACAATCTCTTCAGAACTCATTCATCTTCTTGCTTTTTCTTGATCTGCCCTGAAACAAATTAGCAAAACCTAGTGGACCACTCTAAGTCCTGGCAGGGTTCTCTGTGTCATCCTGAATCTCTATTTCTTATGACAGACATCATCCATATCACTCTGGATATGGGGAGAGTCCCGACCCTTCAAGCTCTCTATCCGCTACTAGGTTTTAAATCAGAGAGAGCCTGGAAGTTGAAAGGCATCGATGTCACATGATGCTTCTCAGGAACAAAACATAATCTGGTGGTTAAAATCAGGAACCAAGGGGTGCCTGGGTGGCTCAGTTTGTTAAGCGACTGCTTTCGGCTCAGGTCGTGATCCTGGAGTCCCGGGGTCGAGTCCCGCATCGGGCTCCCTGCTCGGCAGGGAGTCTGCTTCTCCCTCTGACCCTCCCCCCTCTCATGCTCTCTCTCTCATTCTCTCTCTCTCTCTCTCTCTCAAATAAATAAATAAAATCTTTAAAAAAAAAAAATCAGGAACCAGGCATTAAGGGAACATTTCTCTGAGTTGGTCACACAATATTTGAAATCCCCACCTCAGTTATAAAACAGAGCCAAGTACATTTGCTGTCTCTAAACCCTACAGGGATGTTTGATGGATTCGCAAAGTGCCTTTGAGCTCTCAGATGAAAGGTGCCATAAATTTAAATCACTTACGTGAGAAAACACACTTAGGATAAGGCACTCTGAGTAACCTAGTTTCTTTCCAAAGCATAAGCAAACACCCTTGAGAGTCACGGGAAGAGCTTCCTCTCTGAATGGAGATCTTGAGATGCTTGTGAATGACAGACAATGCTATCATAGTCAAAATCAATATTTTTATCCATAACCAACAAGTATTAAGTGCCCACAGAATGTTCTGCAAAGAAACAAATGGCCTCATATTTTTCAAGTGCAGTGGGAAAGATTCATTTCATTTTTTAAAGGTACTTAAGAGAATATATTTTTCTGAAATCTTTTACTTTTAAATCTTCAGAATAGAGAACCTGTAGACCTAAAAATCATTTCCAGTGAGCTTTAGTGATGATATCCTTAAATCTTATAAGTCTAGGTGGCTCTGAAAAAAAACATTTTTGCTCTACAGTTCTTCTATAAACATCCTTGTTGCCTTTCATGAAGAAGCATTCAGAAAACCCAAGGAGAGCATCGACATGCTGAGAATTCTCTTAGCCTTTATTCAAAGGCTTTGGGGGCTAACCTTACCAGAAGGAGCCTTGCTTCTTTCTTAGAAAGATTGGCATGACGTTTATGACTTCTCTTGAAAGAGATCCCTAATTTTCAAAAGACCAACTAACCAGAAACCTTTTCTTGCCTACTTAAGATTGGGGATGCCTTCCCTTCTCGGAAGATGGGCGTGAACATCTGGGACCTAAAAATAACCACAACCTGAGCTAAAGAAACTCCAAATTCTATCAATTAGGAATGAATGAATAAATGAATCAAAAAGGTACACCCCATTGGTTTCTTCATTCAGTTATTTATTAATTCAAAAAATCATTTTGATCACCTATTGTGTCCCAGATCTTGGAGTAGATGCTAAGCAGTTTCAAAATATTTGATGATTTCTCATTGAAAAAATCAGCAGAAATGTACTGACACCTTAAGACAAGCCTCAAGCTGTACCATGATCCCTTGAGATCTGGGAGGTTGAGGTAAGCAGGTAAATGGGGGTGAAAGCTCTTCTGTTGTGGATCCTCTTACAAAATTCCAACCATTGGGTGCTCTGATGAATATAACATTTTCATAATGTGCCCACTGAGAATCACTTTTTTCTAAGGGATCTTGCATTGGTACATTCTTCAGAGTGAAAAAGGATGGGATGGGGAGGATCCTGATAGCGAAGAGAAAAGCCTACACTACTTCCAATTATTGTAACTTTATATATTTCATTACACGAGGCATTTCCCTGTATCTAAGAAGTACCATCAGAGGTTCATTGGCTAGCAAGTCCACCTTTACCTGTTCTGTAGCCAGTGTTGTTAAGATATACAGCAAAAGTCCGAGGTTCGTGCATCGCCTGCCATGAAGGTGAGGAGCAGTTCTCATTGTTGGTGTAGACGTTGTGGTTGTGCACATACTTTCCGGTGAGCATGGAGGACCGGGAGGGGCAGCACATAGGGGTGGTCACAAAAGCGTTGGTGAAGGTGGCCCCCCCGTGCTCCATAATCTTTCTTGTTTTGTTCATGACTTGCAGGGACCCTGGAAGGCACAATTCCAGCATTGTTTAGCAGAGCGCACCACACCACGAATGCCCATTGATGTCATGTCACTCAGTGACTCTGTGCCCCTGATTTATTAATTTCCCTCCATTGGCTTGAAGGAGTTGATAATTTGACAGCTCTCATTTCCAGAACAAAGTTAAACATTTGGGATCCTACCATCTCAAGCATTTTGCAGAATAATAAAACTCATTTCAGCTTCTCCTCTCCTTACTCACAAAGAAAAAAAAAAAAGCAGGCTAATCTGATCATTAAAGCTAGAATTTTAGATATGGAGAAAATTCAAAGGCCAGCAGCCTTTTGAAGATTACAAGAGAACAAGAGCCTGTGACACAGGGCATCAAACCCCCAACCCACCACATATGCGCAACGCTTGTGACATTGTTGAGGTTACTACTTACAGTGTTTTAATCATAGGAAACTAAAGAGGAAAACCATTTTTTTTCCTGTTAAGTAAAAGTCCCTCCAAAATGCCTGTCTTTAATTAAAAAAAAATCTTTACTGTAACTTGGTATCCTCCAGCAAAGTCACCAAATACCCTCCAGTTTTTCCATCAGGATAGCACTGCCAGTTTATACTTTCACCTGTTTACGTGTAATATTAAAAGATAGATTGTTTGCTTATGAAAGAGCAATGATTCTATTGCACTCAAAAGTATTTGCATAGAGTAAAGTATTCCATTTTGACTGCGAAGGATGAAATTGTAACATAAGATTGCCGAGGAAGAAAAAAACGACTTCGATTACTCTATCCAGCCAAATACTGTCGCTGAAACACATCCAAATACTGCAGAAAAAAAGCACAGGCTAGAATTCAATAGTCTTTTCAGGACTTGTCAAGAAATGCACTACAGAGCACCACAGCCAAGTCCATTGCATTTGAATCCTGGAGCCTCACATTTCCAACAGGTCCCACTTCTTCCAAAGAAAGGGAGAAAGTCTATGTAGTTTTCCAGCAAGGAAGGAAATCGTAATGCAAACCAGGCAAGCATTCAGAGCAGAAGAGAAGTGTGCAATGGTCCAAAAAGCCACAGTTAGCCTGATTTTTTCACGTATTAGTTCTTACTGTTCACATGAAACATATGAAAACAGGAGGAAGGTTTCTAATTGGGTCTCATTAGAGCTCCCTAAAACAGGCTTCAGTTAGGAGGATTCCTAACTGCTTTTTCTCCTCTGGTTGTCTTCGGCGGATCAAGCAACCTTTTTGTAATTGGTGAATAACGTGGAGTGAGTGCCCACTTCATGCTGAACATTCTATCAACCTCAGCACTCTGGGTTGCTCCCCCAAGTGTAGCATTGACAAAAGAAATGGAAAATTCTCTGCTGCCTCAGTCTTTAGCGGTAAACTATCTAGATGAGAACCGACATATAGAAACCACTTGGGGCTGTTTGCAAAGCCACGTAAGAGTGTGGAGACAGCAGTAGCAGTACAAATAAGGTTAGGGAGGACCGAAGGGGATGTTTGATGAGAGTTCTGAAACAAGAGACGAGGACGAATGGAAGGAGAGCAGGAAGAAAAACACAAGACGGGTGAAGTGTGTTCGTGGCAGCATGGGGAGGATGGTGTGTGTGCTCTGGAGGTGGGAGGAAGTCGAGGGTTGCGTACAGCACACTGATTTCCTAGGATGAAAAAGAATATGGGGAATTCTCTTGATGAAACATAGAAGGTAGAGTTAGTGAATGGCTTCAAGGCTGGGCACAGATATTTGGATTTGATAGAATAGCCAAAATGAAGGCAGAATGGTTTCTCTGTCAAAGGAATGAACGACATGATATGGAAAACGTCTTTGAGGGGTGTTGTTGTGGCAACGGGGGATGGAGGTATGTGCATGGAGGAGGAAATAGGCTGGTCCACCAAGGTTATAGCCGAGAGGTCGCTAAAGCCATTAGGCCATGAGGTGATACAGACTTGAACTGGACTGTGCCTCTAAAATGGAGGGAGGCTCGAAGAAACAGATCCAAGATGGAAAACTGTATGGAGGTTCCTCAAAAAGTTGAAAATAGAGCTACCATATGATCCAGCAATTGCACTACTGGGTATTTACCCCAAAGATACAAAAGTAGGGATCCGAAGGGGTACGTGCACCCCGATGTTTATAGAAGCAATGTCCACAATAGCCAAACTGTGGAAAGAGCCAAGATGTCCATCGACAGATGAATGGATAAAGAAGATGTGGTATATATATACAATGGAATATTATGCAGCCATCAAAAGGAATGAGATCTTGCCATTTGCAACGACGTGGATGGAACTGGAGGGTATTATGTTGAGTGAAATAAGTCAAAAAGAGAAAGACATGTATCATATGATCTCACTGATATGAGGAATTCTTAATCACAGGAATCAAACTGAGTGTTGTTGGAGTGGGGGGTGGGGTGGGAGGGATGGGGTGACTGGGTGATAGACACTGGGGAGGGTATGTGCTCTGGTAAGCGCTGTGAATTGTGCAAGACTGTTGAATCTCAGATCTGTACCTCTGAAACAAATAATGCAATATATGTTAAGAAAAAAAAAAAGAAGAAGAAGAAGAAGAGGGTAGCGGGAGGGGAAGAGTGAAGCGGGGGAAATCAGAGGGGTAGACGAACCATGAGAGACGGTGGACTCTGAAAAACAAACGGGGTTCTAGAGGGGAGGGGGGTGGGAGGATGGGTTAGCCTGGTGGTGGGTATTGAGGAGGGCACATTCTGCATGGAGCACTGGGTGTTGTGCACAAACAACGAATCATGGAACACTTCATCTAAAACTAATGATGTAATGTATGGGGATTAACATAAGAATAAAAAAAAAAAGAAACAGATCCAAGAGATGTTGTCATGCATCAGAAGATAATGAGTTGACTAATAATACCTCAACGTTTTCAGCACAGGAAGAAAACTGGAAAAGTAATGGTTTCACTGTCACTCAAGGAGTAACTAAAAAGACAGATGCCCTGTAGAAGATTAAGGAAGTCCATTTCAGAAATATGTTTTATATTTATTGATCAGATGGGGGAAACATCCTGGAGATGGAGATAAATAGATGGATACATGGGAGTGGGGAGAAAGTGAAAGGTAGATGGTTGCGTCTATTCACTTACTCCTCTCTCCTCTTTACACCTCTGCAGTGCTTACTTAGTGTAGTATCTTGAATTTTGGGAAAACTCAGCAAACACTACTGATGGATTTTCATTGCCTACTACGCTCTTTATTACAAAGAATGGGCTATCAATTTCCTTTATGAGCCTTAGCTGAACTCATATTAAAAAAAGCACTGGACGAACCATGAGAGACTATGGACTCTGAGAAACAAACTGAGGGTTTTAGAGGGGAGGGGTAGGGGGATGGGTTAGCCTGGTGATGGGTATTAAAGAGGGCACGTACTGCATGGAGCACTGGGTGTTATACACTCAAACGATGAATCATGGAACACTACATCAAAAGCTAATGATGTAATGTATGGTGATTAACATAACATAATAAAAAATTAAAAAAAAAAAGGCACTGGAAACCATCCTCCAAGGTCCTGAATCACCTGCAATCTCCTGTTTACAGACTCATTCAGATTGCAAATATAGGATGGTAGGTAGAAATCGGATCTAAGGTCAAATAATATACAAAGTGGTACCAAAACTTAGCCCAATTCATAATCTGGACTTGCCCCAGCAAGGGCTCCCCTCCCATTCTAAATGTCACTCTTTTAATGAACTAGGCAGATTATGTTGAGGTCCTAAACAATCTGTCCAAATTCCAACCAGTCCCCAAATCAAAGGGATTGATGAGGACATTTGGTCCCCGGAGTCACCGTGACCACTGCAGCCCCAACATTAGGATTCGTAAAAGTGGGTATCTGGCCTGAAGTTTCTCAGTAAAGAATAGATTCTGAGACAATGTTCCTTCAACTTTAAACATCACTTGGAGAGCATGTTACATCAGAATTCTGGGCCCGCCCTGTGATGCTGATTTCAGAAGACTTGGGGAGGCACCAGAGAATTTGCACTTCCAACAAGCTCCCTGGTGAGGCCGCTTCTCCCTGTCCATGGACCACACTCGCGCTCAGAGAAGTAGTCCAGGTTGGACACAGAAGCAGGGAAGCCGAGAGCTGGACGAGACTTTAGCAGGTGCCTCTAGGCGGCTCAGCCCACTCCCGAGGCTGTAAGATATGGCAGACCGGAATCGGAAACATCCATGTCATGCTTACTGTCAGCCAGGTTCTCTTCTGAGCCCTTCACACTCATCAACTCATTTAATCCTGACGATAAGCCTTCATAGCAGGTGCTCTTATCTATTATTCCCATATAAGTATCACAGATGATAAAACTGAGGGGCAGAAGGGCTAAATAACATTCCGAGGGCCACACATGGCCTAGGTCGCCAAGCCCAGAAGCAAATGCAGGCAATCTGCTCCACAGACCGTGTTCTTAAGCTCCATCTAGGCTGAGTACCAGCTGTAACACTGACGTTTTCAAGACCGAGAAACAGAAAAGGTGTCTGCTCATAGTCAAGATATGTCTCACTTTCCGCAGACTGATATTTCACCCAGCCTCTTAAAGGAGACACTGACACACACGAATGCCGGCCTCCCACGCACCTTCCCCCCAAGGGCTGAAGGATCCCAGGAGCTCAGGCCCAGTGAGGGCTGAGATGTGTCTGACTTCATCGCTGGCGTGAAATGCCGCCTCTGGTCTTGGTGGGTTCTCTGCAGGTGATGGAGTGCAGGAACCCTCCCTCTTCCCTCTGAGTTAGTATGCAATGGAAGGAAAGCACGAAGCACCTTCTTTTTCATGGCAGTGCGATGATTAATGTCGGGCAGCAACACTACCTCGCACCGCCTCCCTCACTGAGGGAGACTGCACCACTGACTTTTCCTTGGGAAACTCTCCCAAAAGCTGGTCTGTAATGAAACTCATCATTCCGCACTTAAAGCTGTTGAGATGAATGAATGGGACGATGTCCTGCCTCGCTGTTGGAAGAGCTCAGTTTTGTCTTAAGCTGCAACTGCTCA